CTCTCTCTCTCTCTCTCTCTCTCTCTCTCTCTCTCTCTCTCCCTCCCTCCCTCCTCCCTCCCCTCCCTCCTCTCTCTCTCTCTCTCTCTCTCTCTCTCTCTGTCTGTCCTTTGTTGCAGTGTGGCGCGTCACGTTGTCTTTCTTTCCCACGCGTACACCTCTCCCTCTATCGCTCTCTCTCGTTGCAGTGTGAAGCGTCACTCATGGCATCAGTCGCTGCTTGGTTGCCCTTTGCCCGCGCCGCCGCCATCGGCTGGGTTCCCGTCGCACAACGAGCCTTCCCGAAATCGCCCATCAGCCAGGACTCGAAGAAGACCGACGAGAAACTACTGATCAACGTCTCCGGCCGTCGCTTCGAGACGTGGCGGAACACGCTCGAGAAGTTCCCGGACACCCTTCTCGGCTCCAACGAGCGCGAATTCTTCCAAGATGAGGACACAAAGGAGATCTTCTTCGACCGCGACCCGGACATCTTTCGGCACGTGCTCACCTACTACCGCACGGGCAAGCTGCACTACCCGAGGCACGAGTGCGTGCAGGCGTACGACGAGGAGCTGTCCTTCTTCGGCATCCTGCCGGACGTGATGAGCGACTGCTGCTTCGAGGAGTACAAGGACAAGAAGCGCGACAACGCCGAGCGTCTGCTAGACGACGAGGACTCGCAGAGCGGCGACGCCAACTACCCGCAGGCGGACCTCCGGCAGAAGATGTGGCGCGCCTTCGAGAACCCGCAGACGAGCACGGCGGCGCTTGTCTTCTACTACGTCACCGGTTTCTTCATCGCCATGTCGGTGCTGTGCAACGTCATCGATACAGTGCCGTGCGGCATGGACGTACGCACCAAGCTGAATCTCTCGTGCGGTGAACAGCACCACCTCATATTCTTCTGCGTCGACACGGCGTGTGTGATGATCTTCACGACGGAGTACTTCCTGCGACTGTTCGCGGCGCCCGACAGGTGTCGCTTCTCGCGCAGCGTCATGAGCGTCATCGACGTGGTCGCCATCTTTCCGTACTACATCGGACTCGGTATTCCCGATGACGACAACGACGTATCCGGCGCCTTCGTGACGCTGCGTGTGTTCCGCGTGTTCCGAATATTTAAGTTCTCCAGACATTCTCAGGGCCTGCGCATACTCGGCTACACGCTGAAGAGCTGCGCCAGCGAGCTGGGCTTCCTGCTCTTCTCGCTGACGATGGCCATCATCATCTTCGCGACGGTGATGTACTATGCGGAGAAGAACGTCATTGACACGACCTTCACCAGTATTCCAGCCTCGTTTTGGTACACGATCGTCACGATGACGACGCTAGGGTGAGTAGAGGCGCCACCTACGTTGCTATTCGTGCGTGTGTGTCCGTGCGCGCATGTACGTGAGCGTGTGTGCGTGTGTGGGTACGTATGCGTACGTGCGCGCGCGCGTGTGTGTGTGCGTGTGCGTGTGTGTGTGTGCGTGTGCGTGTGTGTGCTTGTGTGCGTGCGCGCGCCTGTGTGTGTGCGTGCGTGAGTAGTGGGGGGAGGAGAGGGGGTGTGAGCAGAGATAAATAAGAGGACGGGTACGTTACGGCCAGCAAGAGGAAGCATGACATAATCCCGTAACCTTGCTTTCCATCTACTTGTTCTTCCCGTACAAGCAGCGTGAGGCGCTGGCGACAGTTCTATTCAACAGAGATTCGACACACTGTAACATTTCTTTAGTACATCATACCCCAAAATGTTCAGTAGGTATCATACTATCATTTTGTGACGTCGGACAACGCATGTAGAAGTGATGCTACGTTTCTCATTTTCTAAGCATCTTTTGAGAGTCCCCTCCTAGTCTACTGATACTTATCTCAACAGTGTATGAACGCGGTTTGGCTCCTTATTGGTCTGTGGGGCAGGGCAGTGCATAAATAAACAGTACTAGAGCTTTGAGTCAGGGGTTCTTAACCTGTGGTCTATGGACCCCTTTAGGGTTTGTGGATGGGCTTCTGTGTTTATGTGTTTATGTTTAACCTGTGGTCTATGGACCCCTTTAGGGTTTGTGGATGGGCTTCTGTGTTTATGTGTTTATGTGAATTTTT